GACTGCCCCGAAAACAAGGGGCGGGAGAGATTTCACTGAAGAGAAGGAGTCTGCCCTTTATAAAGGGCTGCAAAGTAGGATTCTTTGGACCAGCGAACTCCCTTAGTGCCTTTAGGATGTGGTTTGATTTATAAATATTTGATTGGCACACACTTTGCTCAGGAACATTTCCATTTGTGTGGGGAGCGGTGCCGGGAATCCTGCTCCCTGTGCAGCCTCTTAACGTGCTTGGGGAGGCAACGGGGCGCGGGCTGCAAGAGCAGGCTGCCAGTTTGGGGTGCTCGTGAGCTTATTATTATTCTCCAGTTATTGTTCCAGTTGGGAATCCCGTGGAGGAATAAGTCACAGCCCCCTTTGCCAGATAGGAGATTCCAGCAGAAAGAGCGGAATCAAACACGGAGCTCCCCTTTGCCTTCGCTGGAAAGGTTACACATGGTTTGCTGGGGAGTGCCTGGGCACGTTATACCTACATGCCAGGCCCTGAGAGCCCCAAACCTAGACTGTCCCAGAGATGCTGAGATGAAGAGTCACCCTCAGTTCCCTGAGCAAGCGTAGCATTCATTTAACTCAACAGACTCCAAAGATCAGAGGATTAGAGGAAGACCAAGTAAGCCCAAGGATGATGATGATTATGATGATAAATACCATTTTTCGAGCACTTATCACATGCCTGGCAGTGTGTTAAACACTTTTACAAACATTATCACACTTAAAATTCCTACTTTCCTATGAGGTGGGTACTGTTGTCATGTTTGTTTTTAAAACGAGGGAAGTAAGGCACAAGAAGGAGAAGTAACTTCCCCAAGGTGACAGGGAACTAGTAAACAGCTGAGATGGGACCTGCCCCTACAGTCATCTGACGCACACAACAGGCTGTGTGAATCCAATATGTTTGTTTAATCATTTTATGGGGCAAAACCACCATCATGGTGTTGATGTCAGGAGCAGTAGTGGGTTATGGAAAGAGCCTTAGTCTTGGAAGAAGCCGTGGGTCTGTGCCAAGCTCTCCCACTTACTAGCTGGTCACAGGCCCTGTTAGCTCAGTGTTCACAGAGTGATGATAATCAATAACCCCACGGGATTGTGACTAGGCAGAAATGAGAGTCGAGCGCAATGCCTGGCATGTATCGGGTGCTTGATAGATATTTATTGAATATATTGTTGAATTTGAATTTATGTGCCACCCATACAATTCATTCACTCATCAAATTAATGTTTATTGGGCATTCTAGCAAGTGCCAGGCAGTGTGCTAGACGCAAAAATTGCAGTGTTGAGCTGTAGGAGACAAAGTCCCCGTCCTCAGGGAGCCCAGGGAGGGAGAAAACCATTAAATAATCACACAAATAAATGTGGAATTATGCCTCCAAGGAGAGCTGCCTGTACACGAGGCACTCCTCAAATGCCCTGTGTCTGAAATGGAACTGGTCGTCTTTCCCTGCGCCTTTTCCTCTTCCAGGACCCTCCCTCTCATGGTGACACCACCCTTTACCCGTCTCCCAAACTTAAGCCCTAGGAGTCAACATGAATCTTCTCACAACCTGCACCCATTGCCCCTCCTTGCAATCCGCAGCTCTTAACGGTTTGATTTTGCCTGGCATCTGTAGCATGTAACAAATGTTCACAGCCTTATGTTGGTAATTGCCTACAGCCATGATTTGAGACATTGTAAAGGGACAAAACCGAAAATATCTTCTCTATAGGCCAGAAATTCCCACCAGAGGAAACATTTTACTCAGGCCTGCATTACAGTGGCCTGTGCACAAGCATCCATTGTAGGTTTTTACCACTCCAAGAAAGGCCTTATGTTAGGTACCTGGAAACTTATTCTCCTGGAGTTGGGAAGAAGACAAATTTTGAAAACGTCTCAATTTTGCCCAGGAGAGATCCGCTGGTTGAGGACAAAGAGAAGCTGTGAAAGGACTTATTCTTTTGCCTTGTAGAGCTGCAAGGCATACAGTTCTATCTTGCGTGCTTTATGTAGATTTATTTAAATATTTGATTGGCTTTTAGAAATAGTCTTCCTGAAGGAAGTCCTAGAGTGTGGCTGTCTACCTGTGACCACAGTCTCTAGTCATGCTCAAATTAATGGTCAAGGAATAGAAACCATCCCCTAGCCAGACTGTGTTCATCAGTTAGCCAGGGATCGCTCACTTCATGCCTGTCCAGGGTGATTGTGTTTCTAAACAACCCTTGAAATTCAGAAGGGTTGCGCAGTACTGCCGCTGGGCAGAAGAGGGCGAAAGCACCACATTTAGTGGGTGCATCCATGCCAGGGAGTCCTGTTGGCTGCAGGATCTTGTAAGAGTTTTCAGCCTTGTCAGGCACACAGGGCAATGTTATTATTCCCATTCCACAGGTGAGAGAATTGAGTCAATATTTTCCTCAAGATTAGATGGCTGGGAACACTGGAGACATCTAAATTTCCAGACAGGAGAGGATGATTGGAAGGGTCATGGGGCTGGGGGACTCCAAGCTGCTTTTGCAGAGCTCTTTTTGCAAAATGGAGAGAATGGTCATTGTTCAGTGCTGCTCCAGTTAGAAAGTGGCAGCTCAGAAATATGAACTGACTCTGAATTAGGGCCCCTGACTCTGCAGAGAGTGTGTGGGCTATCCAGTTCTCCTGGCATTGACAGGGATGGATTTCTGCTCACTCTCCCCAGTTACTCTGATCTATGTCCTCCTTGGCCCTTGTTCTTAGTTCTAGAGTAAGTAAATAGGCCAACACAACAACTCTGAATGTTGCCAGAGAGGCCTTGAATCGAAACCTGAATCTAGACCCTTGGCCTTCCTGGAAGGCAGCATTATTGAAGAGAAGAGACTGGGGAAGGTCCTAAAGTATTGTACTGTATTTCCCTATGCTGGGATGAATATATGGAAATCTCGGTGATGACGATGACAATAGCAATATTAACCAATATGTGCCGAGCTGTTACTTTGAGCCAAGGCACTGTACCAAGAACTTTCACTGCATTATCTCATTTAATCCTCCCAAGAAAACTGTGAGGCAAGTAATATTATTCTTATTTTACAATTGAGAAAAGTGAGGCCAGAAAGGTTAAGTAACTTGCCTACGTTCCCTTGGCAAATCATTAATCCAGCGTTACTGGGATGCAGACCTCCTCATACACACTCCTAAGGCTACCTGGTGCTGCGTTCCAGGGGTTCCTGACATCTTAGGTCAGGTGGCCGGATCCGCAGCACTATTCAAAGTTGTCCCAGTGTTACTCAGAGTGCAGTCTATAGTGTTAATGATGGAATGACAACAGTGAAGTCATATACCATTTGTGCAGAAATCCTAGTACATGGAAATTGTAATTGTAGCCTCTTGTTACCCCAGAATTCAAGGTTTCTAGGAAGAGCCAGCTTAACCCCAAGGATCACATCAGTAAGGTTGTCTTTCCCCTGGGGTTCTGAACACAAGAGAGCATTCCCATTGGTTCAGAAAATTAATAAAACTTACTAGAAATGTTTAAAACTTTAGAGAAATTAAAGTTTGTTCCCCTTTGTGTTGTGTGTGGGGCAGATTACGTGAATTGTGTAATTCACAATTGTGTCAGGGCCTGCCTGACACAAGAGACTACAATCTAAGTCCATTTATTTGCAGTAAACGTTGCTTATGTGTATGTTTGACATACGAAATAGAGTGTTTTTTGCCTCACTCTGGTACCTATTTTTCATTGAGCATAAGGCATTCAGCAGGCCCATTTGAAGACAAGTCATCAAAACAAAGCCCCAAAAAGCTAACCCTGCAGCTGCAAGCTCCAGCCTCAGCCTCCCTGCACCTCATCTCAAGGGTCTGCATGGTGGGTGAGAAGAGACAATGCTGCCTGGTCCATCAACACCAGCTTCCATCCCCACCACCCGTGCATCGGAGGGTAGAGAGTGAGCACCATTGGGGTGGCCATTTGTGCTTGGAGCCCACAGCCTTTGGTGCATAGTCCATGAATAATTAAGACTGCCTGATATATAAACTATCACATCAAAGCCAGTGTTTTGCATTCCATCTTAAAGCCAGTCCTATAGAACCTTACATTCTACCTCTGCTATTTGGTGTCTCCTGATTCATCCACACTTTCCTTCTCATGACTCGGGGCATGTTTGACCCTTTAGACTCCCATAGCAGGGACCAGATATGACTTTTGGCTTCTCTACATTTAATGCCTCGTGGTGCTCAGGGAATCCCCGATAACATCACGGTAGGATCCAGACACCTAATATCAAACATGCATGCCGACGCCAGAAGTACTAAAGCAGAAGGAAGAGATTTTTATTCTTAGATAGTCAAGAAGATTCTTTACTCCAAAGTCACACCTCCATTTATCAACACCACCTGAGAGCTGGGCTGGCAGGAAAGCCCGGAAGAGACATTTAGCCTTTGGCTCAAATTGCTCCCGCTCTCCAGTTTCTATAAGGTCTGGAGAATGACTTTACCCCTCCCAGTTACCACAACCACATCTGCGTGATACGCGGAGCGAAAGCTGCATAATTTATGATGTGTAAGACTACGATTATGAACTAGGATTTCACAAATCAAGCCAGTGGAAACGTAACCTGGAGAGTCAGTTAACTTGAAGCTGAGCCCACATCTTTGTGAGGAGTTTACCTCTCCTGCCCCATGTGGCTCTTCCCATCATGGGGCCTGCAGGGCCCTGACGAGTCTCAGGGGCCTGACCTTTTGCAAGTTACGGAAACTCGGGGAAAGGCATAGCAGTTGAACACTGGCAGCCACATCTGATCTCAAACCAGTTGTGAAAGGTCAACAGAGTCCTTTTAAAGTCTGGGAATAGGATGGCTTTAGGTAAGCTACAGTCCTCACAACTCCCTATTTTCCACACCCAGACCCTTTATGCATTTAAGTGACCCCTGCCTCTGAGTATGTCATGCCTGAATAGAACCTTGGAGAAGAGGGTACCAGTTCTTAGATATCCTCCCTTCCCCCATCCTTGACGTAAGGAAGACACCAGAAAGGTGAGGGGCTACAAGAGAGATGGGTGCTTACTGTGCTGGTCGCTCCTGTCCCTTGTCCCATCCACTGTACCATCTGGAAGGATCCTCAGGAAGTGGCCTCCGTTGCTACAGTAGAGGAGTTTGGGCTTCTTGTAATTCCCTGGGGGCAGATTAAACTTCTCGGTCAAGGCTGTGAAGGTTGTGATTTCCCCTTCAGCCATGGTTCAGCAGCTGCTGGTTATGGCGCTTTCAAGGCTGTAAGAAATGAATCAACGCTGTAGAATGTTCTTCCAGCAAAGGTGCAGCGTGCACTTTCAAGAAGGGAAGGAGAGCCTTAGGGCACAGGGCTCCTGGTCGGTTGGTAACCACAGACTGCCCAGGTGATGGCCACAGTCAACCAGCCTGTGCAGTGGCTGGTGGTTAAGGAAGGATGGTCCCCAGCATGGGAGGGATTCTCAGGGCCCTTCTCACTTCCAATTGGACACAGTGTGGGACCAAGCTGTGCATTTTTTAGAACTTCAAATTTAATCATTTAGCCAAGGGAAAAAAAAATAATGTTTTGGTCCCTCCTAATCCACACACATCCTCAAATTAAACACTGAAGTTGCACTAAAATAACACCCAGGGTCTGGCTAAAACCCACAAAAGCTGAGAGGCCGGCACGGAGGTTTTCCCTCCATCCTCCCACTGTTTTGACTAGGCACCGCCAGGCCCGTGTGCAGAGATAGCACAGATAGCCCTGGGCATTCAAGACCTGTAGGAAGAAGCACAGGAGGCGTTTCAGGCTTCCCACTATAAAGAGAGCCAAGGGTTAACGCGTAAAGGAAAATTCTGGGTTTGCTCATGGGAACAGAACCAGAACTGGAGAACAAGGCACGTGGGGGTGTTAAGTGGGGTTTTTAAAGGGCAAACACTGTACCAAAGGAAATTTTATGAGACAGATCATTATGAAGGCTCTGCCGGTTACTGGCTGTTCCCACAGCTTCCCATATATCCTCACATCACACAGAGAGGGTGGGTCTGTCCCTTGTATGAAGGTCATCTTCATCCTAATTATTTTCTATTCAGACATACTTATTGTGACACAGAAACCACCATATGACATATTATAATCCTCTAATGTTGCATGCACCCACTATATACAAATTCATATTATTAGTGTAAAAATGCATCAATTACACTGCTAAGGATTAAAAAGCAAAGCCAACAAATGTTAGTGTTTTAAAGCATTTACTTGCCCCACCATTTAGGAGAATGAAGTGCTGCTGACTACAAGGACTGTACAAGAAAGAGGTGAAAAAGAGACCAGAAAACTAATGTGGGAACTTCATCTTGTAAGTGTGAGTAGGTGCTAATTGTACACAGCTATTATGAGGTGGCCTTATAATAACAATGATCATCATCATCATTAACGTATTCTGGGCTATAAATTAACTCTCATAATCCTCACCATAACCCTTTGAGGCAGACGCTAATGTTATCACCATTTTTTATAAAATGAAATCAAAGCTTAGAGATGTTCAATGGCCTGTCCAAGGTCAACAGCTGGTAAGTGGTAAAGCTGAGCCTCAAAGAGGTCTCTTGAAACAAAGCCCTAACTTGCCCTTAATCACCAGGAAAAAGTTGAGTGACTTTACTGATTCTGCAGTATTATTGCCGGAAGTGGGGTTTTTAGACATTGCCTAGAACATACACCTGCCCCATGAGCTCGTCATTTATTAACTTATTCATTTGTGACCCAGACATTGGCTGTTACTACCAACAGCCTCTGCTTTTGTCCCGGTGCCAACCTTGAAGCGGGACTCCAGGCATCGCCTCATTGCCCGGGAGCAACCCATATCACTAGGTGTTAGGGAGCCCTGTGAACTTCATGGAAAGCCAGCCAGCTTCCTGCATTCCCTGCACTGACTATCCATCCATGCATCCATGCATCCATCCATCCATGCATCCATCCATCCTTGGAGCAGCCTCATGGAGTTGCTTGCATAGAAATCAATGCCATCATAAATGAAGACAATGATTTGGATAATTTTTCTTGGTGACTTTGGAATTAGGGTTCATGGTGGAAGCCTCCATTTTTTCCCTCTGCTCCAGGCATTTTAGTGTCTCCGGTACATCTCTCCCAGTCTGCAGCCACATGGGCCAGTCACTGTCCCCAGTTTTGGCTATGGTTTGAAGTCCCCCCAAGCACCCCCAAAGAGAACTTTGCATATGCCATATAAACTATTTTTAAAGTCAGACTGTCCCAAATATCCCCTTCACATATGGTGAAACTCTGTCTAGCTCTTTTCACATAATACAGTACAGATAGAAAATTAATTTCAGTTATGTCGATTTCACAGGGAAGACTACAGAGCTTACCTTGCACAGCACATTGCGTTTCCTTCCCAAACCCTCACTCTTTTTCAAACCGTTCTCTTTCATCCACAAGCGTCTAAGTCTCAGTGCCCACTTCTGTCTCTCTCACTCTCTCTCATTCTGTCTCTCTGCTCAGTCTTTTTTTCACCCAGCCTCTCAATCTCTCTCTCATTTCACTTTCTCACTCCACTCAATTCTGGATCCCCTTCTGATGTAAAGCAATTTAGCTCTTCCAAACATGGACATCTTCACCCATCACCTCTCCATTAGCATACAACAATTATCAGATCCCCCTTCCTTAAAATACAATTAAGAGATAATAAATATTTTTTGTTTCATTTTTTCCCAAGTTCTTACTAAGTTGCGTACTTAATTTGGTACAGGAAACAATAATTATGTACTGGTGGTTGCCATTTAACTGTACAAATAGCCATTTGTATTATCAGTCTTAGGCGGGCAGAATTTTTGTTTCTTGTTGCCCTTGGTTTCCTCAAATGGAGGTCTCTGTGTGCCCTTTGATTGTGCAGCAATTGCGTGTTAATCCAGCTAGACCCAGCTCCAGCGGGGAGTCTCCATTAAGTTGTTTTCTAAGTGTTGGGTATGGCTCTATCCATTTGCATTCTTGCTTCCATCCTGTTGGGATGAAGGGGCACAGATGCTCCAGAAGGCTGGCTGAGGTTGGAGACACCAGCTCTGGTCAAGGATTCTCCTAATGCTCACATTCACATGCGGGTATAAGCCACATAGCCAGGACTTCGTCACTGCGGAGCTCTCCTCAGCTACAAGACCTCTGCCAGAGGCCAGCGGGTCCTCAAGCATCTCCTCCCTCCTGACCACAGGGCAACCCAACGTTATACAAGACCATGACTCTGCTCTCTGCCTGCTCCCCCCAGTAAAAGGGACAGTGATGGAATGGCTGTACTGACTTCAGATTGCTCCCATCACCCTTCAGTTCAGATCCATATCTGGAAACCTGAAGGGGACATGTTGACTTCTGAAAATAAGCCTTGAATCAATCTGAAGCTGAGAGACTGTGGCAGTGGGATTTATGAATTAGCTGAAATATACAAAAAATAAAATCCCTTTTTGTTTCTGAAGGAAACCCCAGAGGCACAAAAGGCCCTTATTTTTTTTTTTTTGCTTTATTTACAATTTACCCATATTTTAAGCAGTGGTGGTCCCAATTTCCTTTCCAATCCAGTATTTGTTAAAGCATAGGAATAACGGAAGTCCATGACGTGATAAAACCATTAGGCAGCAGCCTTAGTGGCCCTTGGGGATTAACACAAATTGCTCTAATAAATGAATCCATTAACTACGTGAAATCAGGCATTAAGTGTAATCGAAATTTATAAGCTCTGCTTCTCATTACTATTATCTTTTTGTTGGCTGTCAGGGGAAGGGGTTGTGTGTGTGTGTGTGTGTGTGTGTGTGTGTGTGTGTGTGTGTGTATTGGGAGATGGAAAAGATCAAGCCCAATGAACTCCATGTCATCACTGAGAACTAGGCCCAGCCTTTGAGATTTGGGGCACTGGTGAGATTTTGGGAAAGACAGAAGATTTTCTTGATTTATCGGACACCAAAGTGAGGGGAACACCAAGCCTATTGGAACATCCGTGTTAAGGCTGACACATTTTGTCAGCTATAGCCTCTAGAAGAGAACCTAAACCCTGACACATGAACAGGATGTTAAGTATACACTCTTGCCCAGGAATATAACAGTCACTTTTGAGTGTGGGATAGTGAGCAACACTGTACAGCCCCAGCCATGCACAAATTGGCTCTGGAAATGTGGGTGTGTCACTCACTCCTTCCAAGATGTTTCCTTTAATAGTCCCCACCCTGCCTACCTCACAGAGTTGTCTGAAGGGTTAAATGGGTACAGTATTCATAACACCACTAGGAAAGTATAAAAATATGACCTGACCTATAGGAGATATGAGTAACTGGTTGTGTTGAACTAGTTGAAGCCTGGTGTGGTCTAGGTCAGCTGCAATTGAATGCTTAATTTAAAATAATTTTTCAATTAATGTGAAAATAGAGTTTTTCATTCCCTCTCACATTTGGCAGAAATTAGCTAAGCTCCTTCTCCTTCATCACTTAGCCCACAAACATAGCAGAGATGATGAAGGAGGTAAAGGTAAGCTGTGGTTACACAAGAGAGAATCCTGGTCACCATTTCAGACTGTTTCTCAGCTTATCGACAGTTACCGAAGTGACATTTGTGAAGCCTACTATTTCTAGGAGACATTTGTACTCAATTTGGCCCTGGTGACTAAGCTAGAAGGAAAGATTTATGGTTCTCAAAATCAAGGGAAGGCAAACACTGATGTTTATTTTTCTGAGTTACTTATTAACCCCCGTCACTGCTTAAGCAATGCAGAATACCCACGAAGGAGGATATTTTGCAAAGTGTATAAAGCCATCGAAGGCAGATGTGTAGGCATCTGTTAAGGTGATAATTGGATATGTGTCATCAAAGCCAGCATATGTAAAACAGGTCTCCCCTTTGGTTACAAATATGCTCTAAGTCCTTGCTCCCCATCTCTGGGAATGGCATCCTCTAAAAGCTTTATCTCTTCCTTTAGAGATATTATTTAACCTTAGATTTTATTAAGTCAAATATGCGTGTTAAATGTTAAGGGTAACTACTAAAAGAAAAGAAATAGAATGCATTAACTTCAACTAGCAACTGGCAGGGGTAAGGGAAATGAGGTGAAGTAAATAGAACTGTACTTATCCAAAAGAATCCAGAAAAAGATAAAAAGAATAGAAAATTTTAAAAAATGCTCAAAAATAAGTGGCAGAAATAAATCCGAATATCTTTATAATCACAATAAATGTAAATGGGCTAAATTTTCTAGCTACTGGATTTTCAGAAAATCCATCTACACTCTGATTACAAGAGACACATTTAAAACATAAGGACACAGAGGGCCGGCCCCGTGGCTTAGCGGTTAAGTGCACACGCTCCGCTGCTGGTGGCCCGGGTTCGGATCCGGCCGTGCACCGATGCACCGCTTCTCCGGCCATGCTGAGGCCGGGTCCCACATACAGCAACTAGAAGGCTGTGCAACTATGACATACAACTATCTACTGGGGCTTTGAGGGAAAAAAATAAATAAATAAAAATTATTAAAAAAAAAACAAAAACATAAGGACACAGAAATGTTAAAAGCAAAAGGATGAAAAATAGATGCCAAATGTTAACAAAAAATTAAAAGTTGGTATGGCTATATTAATATCATATAAAGTAGGTCTATGGCAAAAAGAATGATCAAGGATAAAAGGGATCACTGCAAAATGATAAGCGGAACAATTCAAAAGAAAGATATAAAAATTCTAAGCTTGTATATAGTAAATGACATAGCCTCAAAATATATAAAACAAAAAGTTAAAAATATATCAAGAGGAGTTGACAAGTCACAATGATAGTGGTAGATTTTAATACATTTCTTTCATAAATGATAGAGCAAACAGACAAAAAATATTAATAAGGATATAGAAGATTGAAAATACACAATTAGCAAGCTTAATTGAATGAACATATAAGAGACCCCGTACCCAATAATTAAGGAACACCATTCTTCTCAGGGACACATGGAGCATTTAAAAAAATTGGCCATGGACCAGGTCTTATTTTTTTTTTTTTTTTTTTTTTAAAGATTTTATTTATTTTATTTTTCCCCCCAAAGCCCCAGTGGATAGTTGTATGTCGTAGCTGCACATCCTTCTAGTTGCTGTATGCGGGACTCGGCCTCAGGATGAACGGAGAAGTGGTGCCTCGATGCGCACCCGGGATCCGAACCCGGGCCACCAGCATCGCAGCGCGCGCACTTAACCACCAAGCCACAGGGCCGGCCCCATGGACCAGGTCTTAAAGAAAGACTCAACACAAAATAGAAGAATCTATTTTGTTCAGACTATTCTTTGGGTAGAGTAGAAATCACTCCCACCCATCCTATTAGTGACAAAGCCCTTTCAGTTGTGCCTTTTTAATGTCTCCTAAGATCAGCCTCTCTTCTCCATTCTCACCATGGCTCCCTTAGTGCAGACCCAACACCTTCACTCACCTGGGATGCTAAAGCAGGAAGCAGTGGTCTCTCTTCTCCAGCACTGCCCACTTCCAATCCACTTTTGACCCTCCTCCTAGTGACCTTTCTAACATGTGAATCTGATCATCACTCTCCTGCTAAAGATCTTTGACTGGGTCAGACCGTTTCTTGCTGCCGTCAGGATAAAACCCAGACTCAACCATGACCTATGAGGCTTTCATCATCTGGTCGCTACCTAACATGTTGCCTTCTCTCTTATTGGCCTGTTCTGGTAGCCTCCCCACACCCTCACACTCACCCACGCCTTAACCCAAGCATCATCTTGCTGCCAGCAGCATTCTCTCTCTCTCCCTTCCTCCACCCTTCCACTGTGGCCTGCCTAAGTCATACTCACTCTTCAAAAATTTGTCTCAGATATTTCCTCCCCCAGAAAGCCTATTTGGACACATCCTCCAACCCTAACCTACCTACTCTTCCTCCACACTACACACACCAGTTTAGGTTAGTTGAATCCCTAATACTTCCATAGCAGCATTTCATTTACTCCATCGCAGCATGAGTGTAATTGCCACATATATTCGCTGCTTAAGCCTTTCGGTGGTTTCCCATTGCTCTGGGATAAAGACTAGAGCCTTAAGATGTGGCTCTGTGAGGCTCAGCCCTGGCTTCTCACTTGCCTCATCTCCCACCATGCTCTCTCCAAACTAGCCTTCCATTTCCTTGAATCCGCTGCTCTCGCAGCTACCCTAGGATCTTTACCTATGCTGTTCCCTCTCTCTGGAGCACTATTCCCCTCCTCCTTCTCTCTACCCCACTCAGTGGTTAACTCCTACTTTTTCTTCAAGTGCTAGTTCAATTGTCAATTCCTCAAGGAAGCCTTTCCTGTTTTCCCTTAACTGGGTCAGGTTCCTGCAGTTCTCATAGGACTATTTAACATTTCCTCAGAGCTCTCACTTCAGTTTTTAATTACACATTCATTCTTGTGATTATTTAAGTAATGTCTCCCTTCATGACTGGACCGTCAGCTCCATGATGGTACAAACCAATCTGTCTTGCTCACCACGGTATCCCAGTGCCTGGCAAAATGCCTGGCACCTAATGGGCGCTGGATGAATATTCAGTGAATAAGTGAATGGATATAGTTTAACTATGTTTACTTGACTGTCTCCTTCATTAGTCTCTGAGGCCATAGGACAGAAGCTATGCCTTTTCTTTTTAGACCTAGCATTTAGCAAACACCTGCACATCATCAGTGTCCTCTGCATGTTTTTTTTGGGGGGGGGGGGGCAGAGATCAGCCCTGAGCTAACATCTGTTGCCAATCCTCCTCTTTTTGGTGAGGAAGATTGGCCCTGGGCTAACATCTGTGCCCATCTTCCTCTACTTTATTTGTGGGATGCCAGCCACAGCATGGCTTGATGAGCAGTGCATAGGTCTGCATCCAGGATCTGAACCTGCAAACCCCGGGCCGCCAAAGTGGAGCACACAAACTTAACCACTATGCCACGGACCCGGCCCCTTCTGTACGTTTTTTGATTGAATACCAGGCCAGTCCCTTCTCAGGAGCCTCTAGTGGAAACATGTTATCAAGAGACCTAATTAGAAGGTGGTGTCCTATGGGTATTAACAGAGATGCTAAACCAAGAGCCTAAATGTATTCTAATTGGGTTCAAATTAGGCTGGAACATCCCACCCTTGTTTAAAGCAGGCCCAAACCTTTTCCCACTCTTGTAGAAGATCCTTCCTTACTTCTTCAAAGAAAATGTTATGGGATTTAAGGATCTAAAGGAAGGGATCAGACCTTTTGAAGTCTGACCTCCTCATCTGACCAACAAAGTTTCTAGGGCCTGAAAAACAATTCCAGATTTTGTTATTTCTGCCAGGGAGTGTCAGGTTGACACGGACCCACTTCACACCGTCTGGTGAAGGGAAGTTTGCCTGAAGAAAGGGAAACAGTGCATTCTCTCTCTGTCTTTTTCCCCTACTCCACCCTCAATGATCGTACCAGGTCTGAGGTAGGACTGTAGTCACGCCTGACTGGCCTGGGCTAGCATCTCAGCATGCTGTTCCCAAGCCAGTTCTATTCCATGAGCTGAAATATCATCTCCCAAAGTTGGCAATAAACTGTGGATGAGGCCATGGGACAGACTTGACAGGGGTGTGCAGGAGATGGCTCCTACAAGTTCATGAAAGCCAATTATTCAATATTCAGGAATTTTGCGAGCTGGTTGTTAAGCCATTAGTAGCTTGAAATCAGCCCCAATGAGAATATTTACACTACAGAAATTGGCAAATGCTATCAATTAGGGCTTTTTTCTTCCCTTCCCTTCCTTCCTTCTCTCTGATGGCTAGTTTATCAGTATACTGCTAGACTCAGGTTTGAGTCCTGGCTGGACACTCAGTACCAAATTACTCAATCTTGCAGAGCCTCAGTTTCCTCATCTGTAGAATGGGCCTCCATAGCAGTAGCTACTGTACAGAGTTGCTATAATTGTTAAATGATAATGCACATCAAGTGCTGAGCACAGCGCTTGAAAACTGGTAAGCATTCAATAGATGTCAGCTTGATTATCATCCTCCATGTGTCTTATTGTTTAGTTTTGCCAATGATCTGTGCTATTGACTTAGAAAATATTTTTCAAATATTGCTAAAATATTACTATGTTAAAAATCAAGGTGGTTCAATTCTAAGTGATAGGTTAGAATTTTTTGTTATCATGATGTTTGATGATGCTCTGTTCTCATTTTCTTAGGTGCTGGATATGATATACTAGTGACCAATTCTCAGTATATTTCGTGGGTTTGTGTGTGTTACTGTCCAGGATGAAAGAGAACTTGTGGGTTCAATAGTCT